AATTGGACGCGTTTAATTAGAGATTCCATCAGTCCATTTTCAGTGTGAACATAGGCTACTGGGTGCTCAACATTTATTCTCAAAGTTGCACAATAATATGTGCCAGCAAACGCGCAAATTCTATATCTCACGTAGATAATAAGCATACGTGGCACCATTAGATAAAATAATTGTTGCACTCCCTGAGTCATCTATTATCTCCACGGGATCCGATATGATTATTTGTGCCTGCACAGTGTCACACTTGAAAAATATATCTTATTATTGAATATTGAATGTGTAGTTGCACTATCAAGTAGAAAATAGTCATATTTATACATGTTGTTCATGTACGCCTGATCAAAATTTAGCTCGACCGTAGGAATATATCTTCCAAGGGAGATATGTACATGTGGGTATACTCAACACGACTCGATCTTGGGAATCACGTCATCCAAGAGAGATTATACATGAATACACTCAAAATAGCTCAGTCTCGGGAATCACACCTTCTAAGAGAGATATATATACAATGGGTACAAAATAACCAAAAACCCTTTAAATTTGGGGGTGATTAATATCCTCTAAGTTGGCTCTTCACGGGTTTTACCACTTCTAGTGACTCGACGAGCTTCAAGCTCGGATTTATATTCAGATATTTGGCCTTTAAATCGGCTTTTGACGGATATTACAACGTCTTGACTCAACGAGCTTCAGGCTCGGACTTGTATTATGATTTAGCCTCTAAATCAACCTTCTTGACTTAACGAGCTTGGACTCGGAGCTATATTAAATAGTAAGCCTCTAAATCGGCTTTCTAGTCTCAACGAGCTTAGGCTCGGAGCTATATTAATGATTTAGCATGTAAATGGGCCTTCTTGTCTCAACGAGTTTAGACTCGGACTTATATTAAAGATTTAGCCTCTAAATCGACTTGTTTGTCTCAACGAGCTTAGGCTCGGAGCTATATTTATGATTTAACCTCTAAATCGGCATTCATGTCTCAGCGAATTTAGACTCGGAGTTATATTAAAGATTTAGCCTATAAATCGACTTTTTTGTCTCAACGAGCTTAGGCTCGAAGCTTTATTAATGATTTAGCTTCTAAATCAGCTTTCTTGTGTCAACGAGCTTAGGCTCGGGGTTATATTAATGATTTAGCCTCTAAATCGGCTTTTTTGTCTCAACGAGTTTAGACTCGGAGTTATATTAACGATTTAGCCTCTAAATCGGCTTTGTTATCTCAACGAGCTTAGGCTCGGAGCTATATTTCATTTATTGGATTGGAATTCCAACGTCTTGACTCAACGAGTTTCTGGGCTCGGGGTTATGTTTGTGATTTAGCATCTAAGTCGGCTTTCTTGTCTCAACGAGTTTACGCTCGGAGGTATATTAATGATTTAGCTTTTAAATCGGCTTTCTTGTCTCAATGAGTTTGGACTCGGAGTTATATTAATGATATATCCTCTAAATCGGCTTTCTTATTTCAACGAGCTTAGGCTTGGAACTATATTTCATTTACTTTACGAGAATTCTAACGTCTTGACTCAACGAGTTTTTCGGCTTGGAGTTATAGTATGACCTCTATACGGTCTCAATTAAGCTCTACGGGTAATGTGCCCGGAGTTAATACGATAATATCTAAATTGGCTTTAAACAAAGATCATTATTTCTCCAACTCCACGAGCATCAGGCTCGGAGTGAATCTCATAGTCTCTAAATCGACTTTCAATAGAGATTATTATATCTTTTACTCGGCGAGTAGGATTTGGATTGTAAAACATCCAGAATCTTCAGCCATACCGACCAACAACACGTTAAGAACCCTTGAACCGGACTCTAATACCAACTGTCACAGGGGTTTCTTTCCTCACGAAATTTTTGCCCGTACGGCTTGATCTCCACACAAGATCAGTCAGCCTTCCTATCGATTCTATTCGCAAAAACGCACAAATACAAAGTCTTTTAAGCCAACGTAATTGTAAACAAGAGTTTGCAGCGGAAAACAACACCATAAACATATGTACGCGCAATGCCCAACTCTTTATATTGATTTCCCAACAAAGAATGGAAAAGAGACTAAGGGGCACACAAAAAATCTTTACTCTGAATGCTCACAGTTGCAATATGAACTCTTTAATACTAGATGATTGGATTTGTGCACTCTTAGCTCCATAAATACAAGGAAGATGGCAGTTTACACCCCAAACTACCAAGGGACACTTGGCGGCATGCAAGCCTTACGCGTGACTAACTTCTACAAGTTACAAGGTTCAGTTTTGCATACTTTCCAGCCCTCAAATGCTCCGCAACTGCCTCCAAAATCGTGCAAGTAATAAAGTAACGCGCCCACCCTTGCTCGGGCGCACGTGCGTCAAACGGCCGAACATCCCGACCGGTCACTAGGCAGCCCGCCTGCCTTGCTTTGTTAATCACTTGCTAGCTCTTTGCCCACATAGTCATTAACACACCCGCTCATAGGGCTGTCTGATACGCATTAAACCTACGTAGGAATAACCGCAAGTGTACAATATCGCGTTTTGTAGAATAGTGAATTCCAGATATCGAACCACAGAGAATTAAGTTCCTAAATTTACCAAGTACCATAATTGTACTATCCTAAGCTTTATCTAGATGATCAAGAGGATGGGAGAAATGAAGCTAAAAAGAAAAGGTAATAAAAACACCGGTCCGCTAGGACAAGCGATGGATTCCGACATGTGATGGTTTCTAGGGTAAAATCCACCAATGTACTATTGATAGAGATCTACTAATCCGAATCTAATGTCAATTCTATAATCACTAACCTAAACACTAAAATACCCTAACCTTTGTCTCAAGTGTAGTTAGATTCTACCCACATGTCCGATGTCTCCATTGATATTAAGAGAGCATTTAGGTGAAGTCCTTAAGGGCTACAATAGGTGCATCACGTCTCCGTTTCCACAACCTAAACTATGTTTTTCTAAAATCAAATGAGAAATTTTCTCTCCAGTTCATTTCCATTTACAATTCATCCAACTGTTGGCCGAACAATCGAAAGCATTTAATACAAGAAAACATAAACAAATTCAAAGAACGACAAATAGATCACAGATCTTCCAAAATTATTTATAATACGCAAAATAGCTTCTCTTTACCTAAAACTGATAAAACAAAAACAACATAAAATATTCAAATAAAGTCGAAAACTCGGACAAATGAAGACCAAAATAGGAAGATTCGATAAGTAAAAGTCGTGCAAAACGAACACTTATCACTGCCTTCCTTGACTAGCCAACCGGTCGTGCCAGCCTACCCTCATTTGTCAAGTCGTGATCAATTTCTTTCGAACGATCGTTTGCCCAAGTTCTCAGCCACATGCCGATTACTGCCGACGCTTGTCCGTATTGGCTACCGAGCAACGCTAGTGCCAGCCACAAGTCTTGCCGAGTATTACTCATGCCATTTGCCGAGACATTCCCATGCCAAATGCCGAGTATTGCCAATACTCACTTGTTCCATTAGCCAAGTACTTACGATTATTGTTCCCACTTGAACCAAGTCGTTCCTTGCTTTCTCGGACAAACACCACAAATGTTTGCCCAACACTCGACCACTCGTTGGCCGATTGCGTGGCTATCTTGTGCCAACCCTCGCTTGGCACCGTTTCTTGGAAAGGACTTGGCTAGACTCGAGTCATAACCGATGTCACCAACTAAGGGGGTAATGGATGGGTTGCTTGAAATTTTCACCTGATAGAGTAAATCAATTAAAAATTTATTATCGGACTAAAAATATGGATTGGTTGTTGGGTAAAACCAACCCCGTCACATCCCTAATTTAGAAATTTCTTCATACCACATGGTTTCCAATAGATACAATTACATTTAAGTTTTAACTAAGTAACTCATTGGTCCTGAGTTTGTTTTAGTGTTCAATCCTCGTAGAAATTTTAAAACACTGCACTCCCTATTTATTTTATATTTATTATATTTAGCTACCTACCCTTCACTTTATCAATATTGCCCTTGTTTTACAATAAAAGTATTAAATTATAACACCATAATGTTGGTGATTTATTATGCACGCAAGTGCACGTATCGTACTAAGTAATAATAGTACACTTGTGTGAGTCGAAATATCGTCTACAAGGAGCAAGTTAATTTTCTACTACTAAGTACCTGAATTGCACAACTTATTTCTCTCCAAATAACAAAATTGAGTTAGTGGTTAATTAATTCTACGAGTATGAAAAACAAATAATAGCAAAAAACAAATAAATAAGAATTTAATCAAATTGAGAAAACGTGTGTATGGCCTCTCGGACTGCCATCCCATGGCATACTGTAATTCTCGGGCCGTTGTCCGAGTGTACATTAATTCAACCCCTGTGTTTCGTTAGAGGGACCACGGTCTCACATCGCTGGCTATTTCTCGCGCCATAGTCCCAGTCGGCATAAGATATTTTTGCACATTGCAGGACTCTAAATCTTTTTTTGACCCATGTACGCTCTCAATTTTGATAATAGTCATGAAATTGTAGATGTAGCCCTTTCAGATAGATGTCAAGTGACGCAAAATCAAATTATTTGGAGTTTAGATGAGTGAGTTAGGACCAAATATTGTAAATACTGTCAAAATCGTCTTTTTAATTTCTTCTTCAAACATTGATTTTGCCTCCGAACTTATAACTTTCCACCCATTATTATTTCGTTTCCACGTGTTTACCTACATACTAAGAACACCAAAAACACATGAAAAGAATAAAGTATGACTAAGAAGCGAGCAACAATCCATATCATAAAATAATGAAATAGAGTGCAAATCATGCACTCATCCCATAACACATGCCCATCGTATTTTCTCGTTTAATCTTGCGTTGCATTTTGTATATTCATATAACATATTCATGCTATGTGTATACAACTAATGTCAAACGTACATATAAAAAAATATAATAATACACATTCAACACAATATAAATTACATTGAAAAAAATTATACACTCAACACATTGAAGAAATTCATTGCACCATGAATAGCCAATAGACTTATAAGAAAACTTAACTTGCAAGAATTTCCATTAGATAAAAAGCGTGTGTAATTAAATTCCTTTATAAGTTGTTTGCACAACATGAATTGAACTTCTCATCAAATATAATAATGCCTACCATCAACTGGCAAAAGAATGTGTCAAAATCCTATAGTTGTTTAACAACAATTGAACTTCTTACATAATGCCTACCATCGGACCAAGTCAACTGTCCAAACACATAGTCCCTCACACCACTTTTTTTAGCCATTAAAGTAACCCTATACCCCTTCTCCTCTCCTTCTCTTTCAAACCTCAAACTGTTCGGTTCCACACGGACCGATATTCCACGTGGGCTTCGCACCCGAGCTTTGTAAGTACCCGGCGTACCAACATTCTTCACCTTTCTACTCACGGTCACCGTGCCTTTGAGGCTCGGAACTGTAATCGAAGGGTAGTTGAAGTCGATGAGGCTAATGGGATCGCGACACTTGTACGTTTGAGATTCGTTCGAGAATTGTTGGATTTGAGTGGCGTTGTATCCGAGGGCGCATAGGAAGTCCAAGTAATCGTTTGCGGATAGATCGTAGACCAAACCGGGGTCCATTGCACGGTTAGGTTGGATGTGTCCTCCTCCGTAGTTGAACGGTGTAGCTTTGGAGTAGGACGCGTTTGTCAAAGGCTTCATAGTGTTGTCGCGCGTTTTTGCTGTAAGAAAAAAAAAACACGGTGACAATTTAGTTGGAGTAGGGGTGGAAATGAGAAGGATCGGATCAAAATTAGCATTTTCTATGAAAAATTAATTCCAATTCGGTTCCAAACAAAGTTGGAAAAATAGGAAATCAGAATGAAAAAACTTGTTTCAAAATGAAAAAAAATACTTGGGTTATAATCGGCGGCATTCGGAAATTCCATCTTTTTTGTCACATATAATACCAAATACATAATATGATATTGTAAGTATAATTTTCGGGAAAAAAAATCAATTTTTTTGGGAAACTTCTTTGAAATGAAAATCGGCATCTAGTATGTATTCCAATCCCATTAAAAAAATTGGAAAAATCAGAAATTTAAAAATTTGGGAATTCAAAATGAAGAATTTTCGGATCGGAATAAACGAAATTCGGAATGTTCATTCTGATGTCCACCCTAATTTGGAAATATCAAATGATTAGTGAAAAAGATCGAGAAAGTCTCTTTCGGGCATTTTCGAAGCATTATGTTGCTCTTACCCGTGGTTATTATAGCGGATTTAATAGCTGCGGGGCTCCAATGTGGGTGGAGGGTCTTCAATAGGCCGACAACTCCAGAAACGTGAGGGCAAGACATTGAAGTGCCGGATACCGAGTTGAACAAAACTCTTCTCGTGTCGAAATCTTGATTTGTCGGTCCTTGAGCCTCTGTGTACGCAGCTATAACGCTCACACCCGGAGCTGTAATATCCGGCTGCAGAATAAATTAGAGCGACGTGTTAAATAAGTAGGCACAAAACAAAAGAGAAACTAAACACCATTTGTTTTCTAGCTAGTACCAATAAATGAATAAAACAAACCTTGAGAATCTCTGGATTTAAGGTATTGGGTCCGTTGGACGAAAAGGCTGCCATAAATGGAGCGGGCTTCGTGCCCAACTCCGTCGTACCTTTGGTGATGTAAGCAATCGGAGACCTATAAAAATAAAATAAAAAATAATCAAAAAAATAGGACTTTCATTAGTGCTAGATTTGTGACACAAAAAACATCAGATTTTTCTAACCTTGTCGAATTGATGTAAGAGAAAAGAGCAAGACCATCAGTGTAATTGATGTGTGAAGCAGGGAGAACATGTGGATCAGCAAGTATTTCATTACCGGATATCTGATTGTTCGCTAACACCATTCCGACCGCTCCGCATAAAGCAGCTTGCTCCCCTTTGTCAACTCTTGCATTGTCTCCCCTCAGACAAACCAATATTTTCCCCTTTACTTTTTTAGCATCCAGAGTTCCGGCTTTGCACAGCAACCTGCATTTAATTCGTACCCAAAAAGAACGTAAGATTGGAGTTTGCAAAAAGTAGAAGAATATACGAAGATGTTTATCGGGCTTACGCTTGGTCAGCAGACGCATTTGCAGCTTTAGCATCTGTAGCAGAGATTATTTGGAACGACTTCTTTTTCGGCAACGATTTAGCTGAGAGGCTTTCTCCCTGTGAAGCATTATGAAAATTAGTTTTTCCAATATTAGAGTCTCGGGTGGAATCGCACAATCGGATGGAATTAGCACTTTCGGAGAAAAAAACAATGTCTTTTTTCGGAAATGCAAAACTAATTTCAATTCCATTAAAAAAAATCCTAACAATCCAGAACTGGAATTTTGGAAACTGGAATGAAAAGACTTGTTCCAAAATCGGAAATTTTCGGAATTGCCGAATGAAAAAACTTGTTCCAAAATCGGAAATTTTCGGAATTGAGTTTGCAGAATCTGGAAGTTCTAATTTTGGTCACCTATAATACTACATACATAATAATATGGATTTCATAAGTGTAATTTCGGAAAAAAGTAGGAATTTTGTAAAATTAAAATCAGAAATAAGAACTTTTGGAATTCGGAATGTAAAATATTGTTCCAAAATCGGTAATTTACGAATTGGAATTGGCTGAGTTCGGAATATAAAATATTGTTCCAAAATCGGTAATTTACGAATCGGAATTGGTTGAGTTCGGAATATCCTTCGTTCCAATTTTCCACCCTAAGGAAACTTAAGTATGTTTTACAGAAAGCAGAGAGAAGAATCTTTCGTTCCAATTTCCACCCTGAGGAAACGTAAGTATGTTTTACAGAAAGCAGAGAGAAGAAAAGGACAACATATGTGTATATTAAATGTGAATGCCATAAATAAGTAAATAATTGAAGCCCAAAGGGGAAAAAATAAGACCTACCCTCAAACGCATTTTATTTCCGAGAACAACATAGCTCGGAAACTGCCGATCCATAGTGCTAGCCCCGACGGTGATCTGCCAAGGCGCAACATTCGATACCGTTCCAGCACCGGGCCCCGAGTTTCCGGCCGAGCAAACCACAACAACCCCATGTCGGACCGCGTGAAACGAGCCAATTGCAACACTATCATTGTAAAACGGGACGGCATCACCCCCTAGAGAAACCGACAGCACGTCAACTCCGTCGTGAATGGCGACATCGAAGGCGGCCAATATATCGGCGTCGAAGCACTCGTTGCCGCCGATGGGAGGCCAGCACACCTTGTATGCCGCCACTCTTGCTCGCGGCGACCCCCCCTTTGCCGTCCCGTTTCCGAAACCAAATACGCTAGCTCCGGCGACAAAGTTGCCTCCGGCAGTTGATAGGGTGTGGGACCCGTGGCCCTCAGTGTCTCGTGGGGTGCGGAATGTGGAGTTGAGTGGGCCCACTGCTGAGCTGTATCCTTTGTTGAAGTATCTGGCTCCAATCAGCTTCCTACACACAACAAGAATAGGAATTAGGATCACAACAAATTTATAAAAATGCATTAATTAGGTGTATGAGTGTATCCTAGTGCATATTTATCAAATGACATGCTCACTAATTCCGTAGAATGTTTTATTGCTCCCCGAAAATTTCGTGGCCAGAACGGACATTTTCTTGGAAAATTACTAATAAAATTTGAATTTTTTTAAACCATAATTATCAATAATAGAATTGTATATAATAATAATGCACAAAATGGTAATACAACTTCAAAAGATTATTTAAATTTTCATTAAAATATTTGAATTAGTAATTTTTTTTCTCTACTTGATGTTCGTTTCAACAGTTCTTTAGGCAGTTCTGACAAATCGCTCTTGATACTCTACATCCTATGCATAAAGTATGGGTAGGACCACACCTGATATAATGTCAAATTATGAAGAAAAAAAAATCATGTTTGGATGATTATTACACTCACCCTTCAACTTTGAATCTTACACGTTCATCATTGCGGTCTCAAATTTAACGTAATCTTTTAGATTATGTGGAATTTTCTCTAGTCTGTACCCGTTTTACCACCTTCCAGCCCACATTTTGAAACAAGATAGTCATAAGAGGTGTTCCTTGGCTTGTAAATTTCATATTGTGGTGAATTACAAACTGCATTTTTTTCATGATACGAGTACAAGCTAGAGAATATTCTATGGAATCTAGAAGATTATATTGAATTTGAGACTGTAAGGATTTATGTGTAAGACGATTCAAGTTCAGTGGGATAATTGTAATTATCTACACAAGATAGATTTTTTTCATAATTTGACGTTAACTCAAAAGTGGCATGGCAGTAATTATCCTATAAAGTATTTATAAAATAAAGAAAACAGAGAGAAGAGAGAGAAGAAACCTGTTGCAGTGGAAGGAGGCATCAAAATTATTTTGGCAAACTCCTCTCCACTTTGATGGGATTGATCCAAAATTTTCGTCACTAAAACTTTTGGAATCTGGCCACACACCTGCTTTCAATAATCACACAATTAACCTAAGTGCTTAATGATAATGAAACCACTATAATTTACATAATCACCCCCCATGTGCTTATGTCTTTTATTTAATGATGATGATATCTTTATTAAATTATAACACTTTTATTTATTTCAATTTATCACACGCACCCGTGGTGTAGTATGAGAAATAGGAAGATTCCAATCAAGTGTACATTAACCTTTGCTCATTAAACAACTCTTTTCATTAGTTAATAGAGTCAACCTAGTGACATTTTTTTATTAATAACAAGAAATGCTATATAATTACCAAAATATTTGTGGAAGAAGGTGCCAATAGTTGGCCACGTGTATATTATTTATATATACTCAATAAATTAATAATCTCATTTAAACAGTAGTTTTAATCGGTCTCAATTGAAGGACAATACTTTAAAAAAAAAATTATTAAATTAATATTTCGCTAAATTAATAGAATTTTTGACAGATCACAACGATTGTATTAATTTATAGAAGTATTTAACTGTAAAACCTCTATAAATTAATACAGTCGGGACTAGCAAAATTCTATTAATTTAGCGAAATATTAAATTATCGAACTAATAATTTAAAATACATGTTTATCGAATCGGGACCAAGAGAAATTATTATTTAAATAAGATTATTAATTTATCGATGTTTTGCTGTATATTCATATTTTGTTTATGTGGAAAGTATAATTAAGTAATTGGGAAGCGTAATTTCTTATCTAGGCCAACCACACATTGGGATTATTATAATAGGTGGATCATATCATAAACAAACAAATCTTGTTAAATCAATGATGCATATGCTAAGTCAATAATAATTGCCAGATTGATTTCCTGTCACAAACTTCCAAACAGAGATGGGAGAAGACAATAAAATAATTCAACAACCCAATCCCATTCATTTTTTTTTTCAAATGAATTCAAACTCTCGAGCTATCATTTAGTATTGTAGTGAGAGAAACTTCAATATTACTCAATTAAAAATTTAGTGCTTCGAGTCAAATTCAATTTAGACAATAATACGGGAAGAATACACCTTTCGCCCCTTCAATTTATCTTAATTTTACATTTGACCGCCCCTGTTCACAAAAATTAGATTTAATCCCTCATGTTTCTATAGTTTAATATTTTTGGTATTTTCTATGTCAATTTACCTTTGGTCCATCATTAGTTAAGACAGTGATGGTCACATGTTTGATTCCGTTAGACAAAATTGATGGGAATGACAAAAAATGTGTATGTTTGTTTAGGTTTTCAAATTCTTTTCATTCTTTCCCCAAAATAAAATTATCCTTTTGAAATATTTTCAAAAAATTTCCCAAAAAATAATTCAAATATTTTTCTCTCTAACATACATGATTTGACTGCTACTTAAAAATCGTCTTCACTAAAATACAAATTAAAATCACTTTATGCTTCAAATTCTTCTTCCAAAATACATTTTTTCCAACACCTTTTAGAAATGATTTGACTTGCTACAGTACAAATTGTCTCCTCTCAAAACACAAACAAATTTTATTTTATTTTCAAATTCTTCTCCTAAAACATCTTTCTCTAGAATAAAATGGAAATTGAAGGCCAAAAGCTTACCAAACATAGAGATTTTTTTTTTTTTAAAAAGGGACTAAATATTCTTTTTTTATGAACAAAAGGACCAAATATGAAATCAAGATGAACTTAAGGGACCCGAAAGTGTATTTTTCCCATAATAATACTATATAATATCCCAGACTCTAGGTCCCTCAATAGCTCACTAGCTACTGGCCCATTGAGCTGTTAGGTATCAAAAGTTAATGGATATTTATTGACGTTTGAAATTAAATTATGTATAAGTTAGACAGATATTTCCGATTCTGTATAAATTATGAATAACGGTATTCTTGAAAAAAAAAATAAAAAAAAAATTGACAGGATAAAAAACAAACCAGTATCAAGATTGCCGATAATGGTATCTTCACCGAATCTAGCCTTCTTCCAAAGAGAATTCGCTCGAATTTCACCATTTTCTTCGAGCCCTAGAAAATCCCATGACCTGGTTGTGTGCAGTTTTCTTCCCTGATTCAAGAACACCGACACAACCTTCGGATGCTCTGCACACCAGGTGTTTGATGAAAAACCTCACTCAAAAAAAAAAAAAAAAAAAACTCACCATACAATTCTCACAGAGTTAGAAAATAGAAACCACTTAACTGGATATTTGCAACGCTTCTTCATCTTCAAGATTGGCCGCGAATCCATTGATGTGTTTCGTGTAAGAATAAAAAATTGCATCTTTGGCCTTATCACTACTGCAGTGTGAGAGAAGAAAAAAAAAACGAAGATTAGGTGAAAATTCAAATAAGTTGGAAGGAAAAAAAAATGAAATCTTGGGCAAAAATTAGAAACTTCTTCACCTTCCCAAGAATGATCCAAGAAACTCATAGTGAGACTGTGTCACTGTATCATAGTCAACAGATGTGACACGTGTTCCATGTGAGTGAGCTCCCAAGTACACTACATATGACTAGACAAAACAGAGTGTGCAACAATCAAGAATCAAGAAACCAGATTGATTATGCTTCTATTATTAACCACTAGCAAAATAAATAAAAAAAAAAAAAATTAAGAATATATATATTTGTATACCTTTTTGGTAGCAAATGTGGGACTGAGCAATAGTGTGAAAACAAGTGGAATGAGAAAATAAACTCTCATTGTTCACTCCTTTGTGAGTAATATTTGCTCTCTATTCTTTTTTGGTTGAGAGCTCTTTGCCCACTAAAAGATAATAGTATGTATCTCTATTGCTATTTAATATATAGTTGTTGTTGATGATGCTGTGGAGTTGACCTTTTGAATGGGTGAAAAGTTTTAGAATCTCTCATCATTGTCTGACATTGGTTTTCTTTTTTTAGCTAATTGGTGCTATTTGTGATTCATATGGTGTAAAACTCATTTAAGGCGGCTGTTGGTTTTGTAGATCCTACGCTTGGTACGATACGTCGTGCAGTTTTACATCGTTAATCTTCCAGTCTATTATACAGGTAGCCGGTCCCGGGGCTTGAGAAGCCATAGACAAGAGTAGTTTCTTATTTTTATGTAATATTTAATATTTCAAATAATTAGAAAATGAATAGAGTAGTATAATTGTATGTACTTACAATAATTTGATATAAATTCATTGAAGGGTTGAATTTACAAGTCTTGCATAAAAATGAAAGAATACTATAGTTGAGCCTTTTAGAGGTTCTTTAGTAACATGACATTAAAATAAAAATAAGAAATATACATTTTTTTCATGCTGGATTTACATTTTTGTTATCCAACATTGAAGTAATAACATTAGTGGACCTTTTTTGGAGGTCTTTTTTATCCAAAATTACTAAAGAAACGTGAAAATGTACACAAAAGTTGTAAGGACTTGGAGGCCCCTGAAAAATACAATTATTTGTTTAAGGCCGGAGGTGTACGACTCTTGAGCCTTGCGGCCCTTGCCATTGGGCAGACTTGGATCACACGTACATACATGTGAATATGTGTAAAATGGTACTAGTTAATAATGAACGGGTATCATGAGACTGCACTTTCTCAACTATGCATATGTAGATTGGAATAAACCGTTCTAATTACTAGTCAATGATCACCCAACGGTTAATGGATGCGTATGTTCGATTTTCGTCAAATGGTTAAGTAACAAGCTTAAGAGTCAGTTTATTTTTTTTATGGTTAATGAATAATGGTGGTAAATAAACAATATATATTATTTTTGTTATATTTTTCAGCGTACTAATATCCTTTATTTCATTGATTTTTTGTCTTCTCTCATGAAAACCAATTCTATAAAATCTCAATTCTATTGAACATTTGTTAAGTTAGATATACTTATTATATTATTAGGTCGATGGTAGTTGTAGACTAGTCTTATTCAACTACCGTTGACCTAATAATAGCATCAGTCCTACTTCATAACGTACTGATATATAGTAGGTAGTTTTAAATCTCATTTTAATCGTATATTGATATCGTAAAATGAAGTTCGTGTTGTTAGTCCATTTGTTGCTTCCACAACTAGAATTTATTGAGCGTGTGTTATTTGAATTTTGAGATATTCCCAACGAGTAGTTTTTTCGGACCTTTTTACTTTCATTAACCTCGTCTCTGGAGTTGCATGCTTTTGAAGTCGATCATGGTAGTGACACCACATATCAAAGTCTATTACTAAATTTCGTATTTTTTTTTTCACAGATTCTCCTATTTATTGAAAGAACAAGAAACATCGATTTGTTGTTTCGAAATCGTCCGCATAAGCCGAGTATTGTGATATAACGTCAAAGTACTAAAATGTTTGGATATATACTTTTCTCTTCTTCATGTCAACGCTCGAGCTACTTCTTCGAGATCCAAAATTTGAAGTAGAAAAAGGCTAGAACGACAATGAAACCAAGCAAAGTCGGGCCGGGGTCGGGGTGGGTTGGATAGAGATAGAAAACAAATTAATGATAAGGTTGTTTTGGCAAAGAGCATGCGGCCATCGTGTAGTGTTTGTGTGGGGGTAGCTTCCCTAGTTATGGAGGGGACCCCTTGTCCACATTCTCCAACTCTTATGGCCTAAGAAATTTACTAGTTATGTCCAATTCATGATTCAAATTGATATTCATATTTGAATTGACTCTTTCTTCTAAACCTTTGATGAATGATTAGTTTGAAATTTATTTATTAGAGTAAGTTCCTCACACTTTGAAATTTCAAATGTATTCTTACTACATAATATATAGCATATATAATTTCGTATACCACATTATAAAAATACTAGGATGCATTGGAATGGAAGAGTTAGAACTCAATAAAAAGATTTAGTGAAATCATTTCATATATTTTTTTTAATGAAGGAACTCGAAGCCGACCATATAGGTGCATTGGGTAAATCTGCACTCTCGTATAATAGATTACAAATCATACGAGAGACATAAATCACACTAGTCTAACCATGTGTGACAAGCTAACTTTTATAAGTAAGGGATTATTAGGACAAACCCCCTCATTTGTAAATTATTTTTGACATAAATCCTAATTTAATATTAAATTATCTCTTCACCGCCATCTCTCTCCTTTGTTTTCTGTCTTTTTTTTTTTATTGTTTCAATTTCTCGACCGCCGCCCGCAGCAAATTCTCTTCTCCGCTCCTTCGACAACAACAACACCGCCCCTTCTATGTATGCCATCAAATGGATTTATGACTTATATGAGTCTTAAATTTGAGGCTATCACAATTTGAAATTTCATTGGGAGAGTTTTGTCAAGTAGCTCGAATAAAATAAGAAAATGAGAGAGCATATTTATTTTTTTGTTAGCGATGTTGATTTTCCAAGTACATAAAAATTGAAGCAGCCTTCGAGAATTGCAACTGCGTGCGAGCCGCGCACTACAAAAAAATAAGTCAAATGCTTGGGATTCGGTTCCCACTACCCAAGTCCCACTATTAATGCCAACCCCCAAAAGTATGTGAAAATTGACAACTCACAAAAATAATTCATCTTTCAACAAAAGTTTTGGAGTTTGGTTCACAAAAAAAAAAAAAACCATTTTGATAGATACTCGATTCTCGGGTCAAGACGGATTAATGAAAATTTATAATGTACTTATATTGAAATTAGTTAAACCTTTTGATCATTTGAACTAGTAATTAGAATATATATATATATATATATATATATATATATATATATATATATATATATATATATATATATATATATATATATTTTTTTTTTAATGAAGGAACCCGCATCCAACTACAGTAGAATCTCGATAAATTAATAACCTCGCTTAAATAATAAATTTTCGCGGTCCCGACTCGGGGACAACGTGCTAAATTAATAATTCGCTAAATTTATAAGATAATACACATTCAAAAATTTTAAGAAGCCCCATATAATATATAAATTAATAATTCATGAAAATAATTCTTAAATTATATGGTACGATACATATTTTATAGATCTATGAAGGTTTACTAAAATATAATTTCATTGTCGTTTGTTTCTTGTTGAAGTTCACATTACCATCAATCTCGTGTTTCACTTTTTTTAACATGGTTAGAACTTCTGGTATAACTTTCGTAATACTCAACATGAAATTGTTTAATACCATTGCTGCTTTAAGAGCTTCTGTTCGTGAAACGGGCTCTATAGTACATTGAACTAATGGTACAATGAATAATATACACGTATAAAATTAAAAAAATATAATTATTGAAAATAATAATAAAAATAATTTCATAAATTAATAAATTATTAATTAATGTATAAATTAATAATTATTAATTTATCGATAAGTTAATATTTCGCTAAATTAATGGAATTTTGATGGTCCCAACTGTATTAATTTATAGAGGTTTAACTGTATATAAGTGCATTCGATTAACATACACACTCGTATAATAACTTGCAAACTTCATGATACATAAACCATATTAGGTTAGCCGGCCATGTGTGACAGCTCGACCTAACGACCATTGACAAGAGGATTCGAACGTATGTCAATTGACATATATTCAGGGGCAGACCCAGGGGGTATTGGGTGGGGGGGGCTATAATTTTTTTTGGGCTAAAATGGTACCAAATTTAAACTTTGGGGGGCTAAATGGTATAAATTAATAGATAAATAACATAAAGTATTAAAAATATAATAAAAATGAGGTAAGCAATTTTTTTTCGTGTAGGAGCGAGGGCCCCCCAAGGTATACATTGGGTCTGTCCCTGCATATACTCACTTGCTCCAACTATTAGATCATCTCTTGCGTATGGAAATCCATTTCTTCAGAACACGACAACTGGTTCAAGTAGTTTGAATTCGATCGAAATTTGAATCATTGAAATTCTTTCGTCATTTGAACTAGAAAATTCGTATGAGTTAATTACATGCGGCGTGCTCGTGTTGAATCAATTTTTCTAAATATTCATCAATTGTAAATACTAGCATAAGTTCCCTGTATTGTATTCTATTGTTTTTAGTTTTTAGCACAATGCCCGGATTTAGCTGTTCAGCCATGGATTTTTCTTTTAGCTATCGACAGAATGTATACATATTTTTTGCAGTGAACCAAAATATATTCTTTCTTTTACCTATATGATTCAAGACTTACAATATTTTATTTAAACTTCATGTTTTTCCGCATTTTTATTCTTTTATTTCTGACATGTAGTTTTAAAATTACCACATTCTTTAATTTGTTAAATTTATTTATTTTGTAAATGTATTAAAAGAATATGCATATTTTGTATAATTTTGAAATATTTGTATAATTACATAGTTTATCTATGATTTCCTACAATTATTATATATGTTTTTCAAAATTGGAGTAATTTTATAAATTTCGTACAATAATATTGCATATAGTTTTTAATTTTTTGGGCAAATTACGAGAAATCCACTAGGCAAGGCCTAATCATGAAAATCCCCATCATATTTCCGTAATTACAAAAATCACCCATATTACCGGTGTTTGAGCGTTTAAATCTACAAAAAATATATTTTGACCATTTTACCCTTCAGTTAATTGAAAAATAATAAAGGGTAAATTACGAGAGTCCCACCTGATGTAAGGTCTACTTACGGAAATCCCCCCATATTTGCGACATTATGAAACCCCCTGAGGTATGTTTGCCGGATAATTATGCAAGAAATTTGTTCGAAAAACACTTGTCGAAAAATGGTTTGTTACTACGACTTTTTTTTTTTGCTATGGTAAAAAGCCGTAATAAAAAATATCTTTTACTACGAAACAATCTAGGATTCGTAG